CAGTTCAGTAAACTCAAACAGTCTCTGCAGTTGGTTGATTTACTTTCTACAGTTTGATTAGTTTGTTTTAGCCATAGCTGTAGTTGTTATTAACCAAACTCCTCAAGTAGCAGTGACTGTTTTAAGGGCTCTGATGCCAACAGAGTCTGAGCTTTTTTAGTCCATACTAATCTTTCTATTACAGATATACCTGTATGTGCACTGTAATTATGATCTGTGTTACTGAATAACATAGTTTACAGTAGCTTATTATGTGTCTTGTTTGCTGCCTTTATTCATTATTGTAAACATGATGTTGAGTATTTTGGACTTTAGTTCTTGTCACAGTTTAGTCTCAGTTTTACTGTTGAATTTGTTCCCTTAGAATTTCCTGTCATAAATTCTTGTGCCAATTTTCTTATGTGAAGTTCATTCGTGTGTCTTTTTCCACATTTAGTTATGGTTCTCACTTCCTGTTTTATTGTCTTTGTGTTTAGTTTTACTAATTAAATTGTCTTTGATTATTTTCACTTACATTTCATCAACCACCTGTGTTCACTTCCTGTAATCATGATGCCCTCGTTTATAAGTAGTGTTGTCTTTCTTTCAGTCTTTGCCTTAATGTTTCTTTTCCTGCCGGTGATTTCCCAGTTGGTTTTGAAATCTGTTTATTCGATCAGTGAACTTTGTATTTTGGACATTTCATCAGTAGAAATAAATTCTTTTTAATCAGTCACTCAGTCTTTTGTGTTCATTTTGGTCTGGAAATATGAACATAATTACTCTTTTCTTCAGGTAAATGCAACTATCCAGTAACTTCTAAAAGTATTAAAGAGGGTGTAAATTTGAAACCATAAACAAAATGTTTTGAGTAAACCTGAAACAACCACAGTCGAGCAGAAACTTCGCAGAGAGAAACTTTAGTGCAGTAAGTGTCATCTACAGATTTCTGTCCAGCGATATGAGGTCTAGTACATATTTGCTCATTAAATCTATTTAAAAAGGTTTTTAAACTCTTTTAAAAGAAACAGGAAATGACAGCATTGTTGTCAGCTGACATATTAAATGTACAGACCCACATATGACACACCAATGGAAATATTTTACTTGCTGAAGTAAATAAATTAACACTTCACTACCGTAGGATTAATACAAACGCATTAACCATGACAGTTTTGATCTTCCCACAGTGATGGTTTAATTGTGGAGAGATTACTACTAAATGTGTTTAAAAGTGACAGTAACTGATGTTATACTGCATATTACAATTTTTTAAATTTTATCTTAAATTATGTCTCTTTGTATTGGCTGTATGATAATAAGACTGAACCAAAGATAAACAGAAAATATATGTAATAATATTATTGATTGTTTTGCAGCAGAATTAGTGCCTGTTATTCAAATTACATCAAAAAACAAGA